AAAAAAAAAAAAAAAAAAACAAAACAAAACAAAAAAAAAAAAAAAAAAAAAAAAAAAAAAAAAAAAAAAAGAAATAACAACAAAAAAAAAAAAAAAAAAAAAAAAAAAAAAAAAGGATAGGCCCGACTCCGCAAATATGGATGCTGTTAACAACCCAACTCACCCATCATCTGAATTGCCTCCGATAGTTGCTACTAACACTGAAGAAGATACCGAAGAAGGGAAAGATGTCTACCGACCGGGCGGATTCCACCCTGTCCACATTGGCGACGTGTACAACAACAGATACAAGGTATTGAACAAGATCGGATATGGTGTCTATTCGACAGTTTGGCTTGTTGAGGACACAGAGAAAGAGTTAGTTCACACTATATATTCGCTGCTACTTAAGTACTTCTTGCTAACAACGACGGAAAGGAATGGCGATTTTTGTAGATATCTTGCCCTTAAGATTCTGAGTGCAGAATGCTATGGCACTGAGAATCATATTTTTGAGAAGGAAATTCTGCAAAAACTAAGAGACGGTGATCCTAAGCAGCTTGGATATGATCAAATTTGCCATCTGGTCGACGACTTTGAACACCAGGGTCCAAATGGCTCGCATATTTGTCTTGTCTTTCATCTCATTGGGGAAACTCTGGAGAGCTTCCAGGAATGGTTTCCAGAAGGCCGTATCCCAAATCAGGTTATGCGGCGTATCACAATCCAGATGCTCTTAGCACTTGATTTTGCTCACGACCATAACGTGATTCACACAGGTGATTTACCCTTTGATTCCCCCTAGCGATGTATGCCGTCTAACTTCAGGAAAATGTTGATATATACAGACATCAAACCCAGCAATATCTTCGTGAAGATACGGGATATGTCTCTTATCAATTCCGGTTACCTTACTCAAGTACCTGTCCCGCAGCAGGACAGGACTGAACAATATTCCGTGATCCCGTCTATTCCCCTTCGTCAGTATTACTTCAACACATCGGACAGGTTTGACCATTTTGATTTTATCCTCGGGGATTGGGGAGTCTCAAGTTGGATTGATAGGCATCTTACAGAGAACATTGAACCTGTCGCCCTCCGCTCCCCTGAAGTTCTCATTAAGGCACCATGGGATCAGACTACCGACCTTTGGAATCTCGGGGCTATTCTCCTTGAACTCTTTTGTGCGGTGCGCATGTTTATTGGCACAGTTCCTCCAGACGGGCATTACGAGGTCAAACAGCACTTGGCCGAGATTGTGCATCTGTTCGGTCCTTTGCCCAAGTCTTTACTCGAAAAGGGAGATCAAGACCTTGTTCAATCTATTTTCGACGATGATGGAATGCATCGGGATGCTATTCCTGCAGATACACCTGGAATTTCATCAGAGGGTTTTACACCATGTTTAGAGGGAAGGGTTAGAGAACACTTTGTCTCTTTCTTGTTGATGTTAATGAGGACAAACCCGACAGAGCGACCATCGCCTGAAGATCTCCTTCGGCACCCTTGGCTGGATGCACTGAAGTAATTAAATGAAATCAAAACTCCTGTTACCGAATACGAACTGCTTTCCATGTTAGGTATTTCTCTACTCAGGTATAGACCTCTGATTTGAAAATTGTATTCAATTCCTGTACCTCTCGGTTTGCTTAGGTACGGGGGACATGATATCCAAAGCACAATAACATTTGCACCACAGGCCTATTCTCATATCCACAACTCAGGCCTTCCACTGCAAATCTAGCAGCTCACATGGAATAATTCCAAATCTCCAATCCAACATATGTGCCAACGGAGTCTCAAAGATAGTTGACAGTAACGCTGTTTCTGGAAACAGAAGAAGAGGTCAAAACAGAGGAAGACTGTCTGATATCAATGAGAGTAGCACCAGACGGGCCGACGCTTGATCCTCCCTTGGTGGCTGAAGCACTGGTGAAAGTCACCGAGTCAAAGTCAACAAAGGGAACCAGCTCGCCATTGCTTTCAAAGTCCTCCACAATCCACTCGGCATTATATTCACAAAGGTCGCCATCGACACCACCATTGAAAGTGTGGGTGACAGACTTGCCAGTTGTCACATTCTCAACAACAGCGGTACCAGTGGTCTTGGATTTAGCATCCACGGTGAGTTTGATGACATCCCCAGCGGAAATCGAGATGCCAGAGAAGTCATAGGCGTAGTCGGGGTACCACTCGTACCAAGCATCATAGCTGACACTGCTTCCCTGGATACAGAAGTCGATTCCAGTCTGGAGAATTGCAGTGGAGCAAGTATCTCCGTCGATGCCGACCCAGGCGGAAGCGCAGTACTGCTCGCTCGAGGAGGCACCGGTAGGAAGCTTCGGGGTGGGAACGGTGAATTCAGCTGTCACTGCTGTGTATCCTGTGCCGATGAGAACGGCACCGGCCCAGTTGGAGCTGTACTCTTCATGGGAAGTTCCATTTAGGCGAATGGCCTCGGTGGTACCGGGCTTTAGGGGAGGGTTACTCTTGCGGTTGAGCGAACGACGTGCCTGGCGCTGCTTAGTCAGAGGCGCAGCGAGTGTTGCTGTAGCGAGCAAAGCTGTACCGAAGAAGGCAGAGAACTTCATTTTGAAAATCGATTGGGGTGATGATCGGGAAACTTGAAGGCAAGAGGATCTGAAAGCAGGATGGCTGGTGGGATAAGGAAAACATGCTCGAGGAATCGTGCTTTATATAGCTATCCGAGCTGGGATTCACAGTGCTCGGAAGACCTGTAGACCTTTCCCTAGACTCCAACTCGTGGTAGTTGTTGAATGCCAAAGTCACCTAACCAGTTCAAGCATGGAGTTTGATCACGATGTAACATCGGTTTCCCCAAAGTTGAAAAAACACTCATATCACTTGATTCCGTCGGAGGCCGTTGGACTCGAGTCGAAGTGTACTACATTGTGGCTTGAACTAAGCACTTTAGCTGTTTGATTGTGAAAGAATGGGTCTATTGAAGAAATTGCCATGCAGGAGTTGCATATGCAAGGAACAGATCATCCAATGAGAAGGCTCAAGTTGGTAAATTTGCAGGACTTTAAACTGCATGTGTATGAGGATGTGCATACGAGTAGGTGCTGAATTTAGATTGAGTGACTCTGGGAACTTAAGCAACTAAACCCTGCCTAACAACTACTTGGCTATGCAGCGGTAAAAAACAAGAGATGAATGATTCCTTCGGTTTCTTTTTTAAAAAAAAGAAAAGGGGGCGACATTTTTCTGGATTCATAACTATACCTCGACTTCAGTGCGTACCGACTTGACATAGTTTCTAAAGTTATGGACGTCAGTACCTATACTATTCATGTATGGAATATTGCCAGTGCAAGGGGGTGAGACCGATCTTGCCCAGGTGGTCTGTGTTTTCCCGCCAAAACTAAATTAGCTCTAGCGCCCGTACTTCTGGTGAAATTGGGACTGATAAGCCCGTTCAAGCCGTATCGGCGAATGCAGTATGAATGAAGGCAGGCAGATATACTTAAGCCGATAGTGGTGTAATCAAATATCTTAAGCGGTTAGCAATCCGGACCTCCGATGGACCAAGGCACAAAATATGATTAAAGCGGAGAAACAACGGGATTGCCCAGGTGGGTTCATCCCAGCGCTAGCCTGTGGCTATGATGGGAATGCTAAGCTTTTGACAAGCACTTATGCCCAGACATCAATGTAAATCTTGACGAAAGATGCCTTTCTATGATTCATTCAATGTCAGAATTGTGAACAGACGGCAAATGGAATGAAATAATAAGGTCAGAATCAAAATGCAGAATATCGAATATCGTAAAATTATCATGGCCTCCACTCATTTCAAAAAGAGATATAACCCCGCATCGGAAATGCGGATTCAGATATTTGGGTGCAAACATACTTAATACTTAGCCCACAGTAATTTCTTCAAGGCAATACCCGACGGTGTGGCGTTATGCATATGAATGGCGCAATCAACATAAATCGAGATGGCGTGGCCTGTGCTATCTATCTATGGTTCCGTGTGTCCAGGTGCGAGGGAAATAATAACCCGAATATCGTGATCGAGTGCTTGTTTCAAACTCGTGACTCTACCTATCCCAAATTAAGCCAACTACGGGCTACAATCCTCTAAGAACGACTCATGGTAGTCTTCAGCAGGGAAGGGCTCATAGACCAGAATACTGCTTGAACGTAAGTGGGCGAATATGTCAAACATAGCAAACAGGTAGCAACTGACAAAGCTTCGGGACCTGGATCACTAGTGAAAATTTATCGCAATAGATAAAATTTATCGCTATAGGCATGCTACCATTGTTAGGTGATCAGATCATAAAGTGTTGATTTCTAAAACTAGGTAACTAGCGAACATAAGGATGCGCCGGTCACGTGCACTTAGTCATATGGGCCTCAGCCCGGGCTGGAGCCCTGGACAGTACCCTTGACTTATTCCTTTTCTTTCTATACATCAACTCAGAATGCCAGTCACAAGAAGTCAATCGAAGAATTCCGTCAACCAAAATCTGAACACAGCACAGGAGAATAGCGAGAGTTCTAAAAGCTTGCAACAAGAATATTCAAAGGAATGGCAGTTCGTTGAATGGTTTGACCTTGACTATTCCGACAACTCAGCCATCAAGCAGACAGACTGGAAGCTCATTCTCAAGGAAGTGCGAAAAGTCGATGGCTGTCGCCAAATTACATGGGCAAGTCCTATGGAAGATGACCAGCGACTGTGTATTTTCATACGTAAGATATAGTGCATATTTCCCCGCAACAAGTCTAACGTGGTAGTCGAAGATTGGTGGGCAAGAGTACACCGAGACAAGTTTCGCCAGTCGGATGCAATGACGCAAACCATGAAAGAAGTCATCTTTCTACCTGAATTCGACTCTTCCGGCAACCATTCCAGCAGCCCCAACAATAAGGCACTTTCAATTTATCACTATCGAGGCACTCTCCAGAAATTCATACTGGATTGCTTTTCCAAATCCAGTCGTCCTGATATGGTTTATGAGGTCTTGACGGGCTACTTTCCGGCCGAAGAGATCATTGCAATACTCAATTCGGACCCTTCATACAGATTTCCTAGGATAGTCAATTACAAATCTCATCCTTGGGCATCGGAAGACCCTATTGGTGCAGCTTTAACACAGGTCGTCGGCTATGTGTCAGGCGAAGTCGAATACAGAGGCCGACGTTGTAAACGAGTCGCATGGTTCTTTAACTGGAAATCGAGTGAGGATGAGGAGATTTACAAAGAAATGCCGTTTTCTAGAGACAAGAATGGAGAATGGCGGACAGTGATGGATTCATTTATCGATGAGCTACATGGTCTCGGACTGGTGGGATATGAGTCTATCCATGCCAAGTTTAAGGAAATAAAAAAATGGACTTAAAAGGGCAGCAACTGTGATGCACTAGGTAAATCCAAGATATTGTAATATTTGGGTCCTGATCAACGAGAAGAAGTAGTATGAAGAACTCATCCACCTGCTAAAGCAGCCTCTATATATATGCGAGGGCGGAATATGCCTCTCCGTCAAACTGCATGAGCTCCCTAGCCGATTCTGCATGCATAGCTAATACCCCACGATGGCCTCATGAACTTGACTGCTGCCCCCGGGGTCACCGCGGAAGTAGAAGCTCAAAGCTCCTTAATCCTTGGAGAACCCGAATCAGCCCCTGTTTCCTAATTGGGACTATCCCTGATCATCACAATCAATGGCTTTTTCCGGAGTCTGAACAGTCGGCTTTGGAGCAACCCAAACACCATTTCCCAATGCAAGCATTGGCCATACACTTCTCAGAAACTTGCACAAATCAACAACACCGCATGAAGGTCCAAGAGCGGCTCTTTTTCAGGGCCTCGGGAATGCAAGTGGGTCATATAAGATCCCTCGCTGTGCTAAATCGAAACCGACCACTGGAATGCCCCAAGTCATCTCGGACATACCCCCATCGAATTGGCAATAAGGCTGGGTCTCGATCTTCTGGGTGTGCATGACACGCAGCGCTTATAGCAGCGCTACATGTGCCGACCAATGGTGCAGGGTATGAAGGCGTGCCATTAACATTGGTGGGAGACGGCTTGTACTTTGAGAAAATCGCAAAGGCAAGCATCGTGAAAATCATGACACCGCCAACCAAAACTGCCAAAATCATGGCAATAGGAGATGTCCCCACAAGAGATCCGTCTAGATCTGGGGCACGGTCAAATCCAGGTGTCTGGTATGCAATGGTCTGGATGACGAAGATGCTCTGAGAGACAAGCCAGTGAAGTACACTAGATGCAGCCATCAAAGGAAGTGAATATCGATATGGTAGGGATAGGAAGTAGGTGGATCTTTGGTACCCGCGTGGACAAGACACACGGAGTGATCGTCTTTGAGAACAGTAAGAGTTCCACTCAGATGCCATCAGAATGACAGTTATGATGTTGTTGCATAGAAGGTACAGACCGCTCACGAGGATTTGGAATATGTTCACATATATAGTGGCGAAAAAGAAACCGACTTCCTGGTTCATGTGCGATAATGTACCAGTTAAGGATACACTCCATGCGTGAGCAGTTCCGATACCGTATGACTAGAGAGATGGCAGGTCTATTGCGAGCCCTCCACTCTTTCTTGCGGTGAGGCTTTGACCAAGCTCAACAGAGGTGAATATCAAAAACCCAGCACATCTATTTGACCAAAGTTAATGTTCTGATTTTGAGTGCCGACAAGATGTACTCACAGTAGAAGAGTCGAAGTCCATTGCAAGATGCTAACCGCGGAGAACCACCGCCGGACCCTCAATTTAGCAACGAGTTCGGATTTTTGATTTCCTTGCTCTTCGACCGGCCATTTCCCTCTGCTGAAATCGCTTCGAGTAACCAGAGAGAGATCCTTGGTATGGTCATCTTCATACTCTAGGAAGCTTGCAATGGCATCGCCCACAGTGACAAGGTAGGTTGTTTTGGCTTCTGTGACCCGCTCATGTCCAATCGAGAAACAATTAGAACGATGAAGACGAGCAGTACAAGAAATACAAATGAGCTTGATGAGGTTCAACCCGCAGACAATGATCAGTAGAGCGTAGCTTACCCGAAGCGCACAAATATCCTCCGTGGGATGGGGTTCACTAGCAGGAATGCAATGATCCACACCTGCCCATAACTGCACCCCAGAAGGGCTCCCGGGAGCTTTCTCCCATCTTGTAAAAGTCCAAGAATTCACATACGCCTTCATTGCCGAGGCGGAGCAGATAGTGACTCTTTCACTGTTCGGCGGTAATGCGTAATAGCCAAGAGGTGTCCAGGCAGAGCATACCCATGAATTTGCCTGAGCCCAACGTATACTCTTGAACCCGTCTCCATGAGTAGCAGCCTCAAATGCGGAAAAGTTGGAGAGTAAAGTTGATGAATTATCAATGGCGAATGACATTTGGTCATGTTTGCTAATGTTGCGAGCAACTAGAAGCACATCGCTAAGTCCGTTGTCGGTATTTGTGTATCTCTCGATGCAATCGGCGCGAGAAAGGGGTGCTAAATCGGTCGCATTTCGACGCATTTCGTCAAACCCCGCCATAGAGTAGCTCCACGGGTTTGAATCTTTCAGGTAATCGCTCGTTACAACCCCCACGTTATATGAGACTTTGGGGGAGGCCGCAAATCCAACAGTGTTCCAACTGTAAAGGTAAGAATGTGCGACATGAAAAAGGTTTCATGTACTTACAATAGGTGAAGAAGTCCAGAGCTCAACATCAACATCACCCACAGGACTCTCCTTCGGGTATCAACAGACCGCAGATTCCGAAAACTCTGGATTCCAACATCAAGCGTTTTCCGTTTGTTGTGTGCTTCCTCGATATCTTTCCTCGTGGGTGCAACTAAAAGCTGGGAGCAGTAATTGCTGGATCCGAGTAGAATGGTCGATAGAAAGTTGATAACCAAGTGAAGACCCAAATTATATGATCGGACCTGATCACAATTAGTGACTCCAGGAACGTCGATGATGCCCGCCATTCCGTTGACAGGATCAGATGTATGAATGGCAAGCGCAGTAACGATGATATTGAATATCAAGACTACCCCTGCAAGAGACTGGTGGATAACAAGAGCTACATCGCGGTTGGAAAGTTTTCGCGAGAAGGTTTTTGTGCGTGGGTCTTCTGGGTCAATCTCAGGAAACCACTGTCGAAGAAATTCGATAGCGGCGAATCGTGGCAAGGTATCTCCCACCAAGAGGTCACCATTGGTGGTATCCAAAGAACTCCAGATCGTGGGGGATATGGTGATTGAGCTTTCATTGGAATGCGATCGACCTGTGATAGCACCTAGGGGAATCGCGTCAAGAGGGATCCGAGTCAAACCTGCATGCTCAGTGTGCTCGAGCAGACTAGCAGACTCGAGATTTGAAGACGGGCTCGAAGGCATAGTCTATTTGCAACATAGGTTTTCTGGATCTAAGTGACAACAGAATACTTACTTCCAAGGTCTACTCTCCGGGCTTTGTCTGACTTATTTCTAAAATTCTCACTAACTTTAGAACAAGCCTTTGAAATATTCTTATCTATCAGATCCGTCTGCCCAAACCTAGCAGGGAAGTTTTTCAGTACTACCTGTAACGGCGCCCGGGCGCTTACTGTAACATACTTGAGTAGCGCTCAATATGCCTGCAGGCTACAATAAAGGTGGTTGGCTGATTGTCACCGCGATGTCTTAGCATATATATTTACCTAGTTCAATGTCGACTATTTGGGTTGGCCCCATATTCACTCCATCTATATTAACGTATAAAACTTGAACAGTGCATGGCTCAAGAGTGTCAGATGCCCAGGTGGTCCCTTTAGAAAAGAGATAAATACGAAGTACAGAGTAGGCATTCTCTAGCTTGATAATGCGTAACTCCCGATATTTAAAATAAGTAAGATCTTCAATCGCAGTCAATCAACTAGACAATCTACATCTAGAAATGTCACTACTTGTATGTAACGGAGCGAATGGTGCATGGAAAAGTGTAAAGGATTTGAGAGCCCCAACTCCAATGATTATGTGGAAGGGGGTGCAAGCGCTGCACTAGCTCCCAGCTGAGCCCCCAGCTGAGCGAGAGTAGAACATCATTGGGTCACGAACCTGGGAAATTATATCTGAAACAGCTAGCCTATTGCTGTCTACGCATGGCTTCCTTTCTAAAATAGCTACTGTATATGTTTCTTTTCTGTGCTTACACAGATACATACGACCACAGGGTGTGGAGAACAGGGCTTCCCGTCCGCTCAGCCGTACTTAAGCCACACGCCGGTGAGTTAGTAGTTGGGTGGGTGACCACCAGCGAATCCTCACTGTTGTATGTTTTTGTTTTTTTTTCTCCAAACGAAATCCATCGGGTTATCAATCACAGGTTACTAATATCTCTAACATCTCAATGGGATGATGAATCTCGAAGTGTTCAACTTCTTCAATAATGCCGGAAGTCCCGTAGTCTAATGTTAACATTGCCATGAAACTGCGAGAGAGGCAAAGCTTCAAAAGAAGGTCTAACTTGACAAAGAGAACTAGAATGCAGATGGAAAGAAGAAGACTACAGAGGAGCTGCTTGGAAAGTAACAAGCTGGAATCTGGTTCGGAGAAGCTTGGTATTGAGGCCGCAATGATGCAGTCCATAGATGCGTGAATACAGGGGTCCCATACTGAAGAAGGCATTCTGCATTTTGTATTTCAGGATATGTCCAGGTGGGATCCTCATTGTTCCTCAAAACGGGGAGGGGTGTGCGAACGCCTTCCCCTTCGAACAAATTGCCAGAAGATAGACCCCAGGCCCTCAAGTAACCGTTGAGGATCGTGGCCATCAAGACGATTAACCACGTTTGAAGAGGCGTGAGAATCGATTTTTCTTTTCCGCACCCTGCCTACGGGTGTTGTCATAGCTACCCTCACTTTCAAGATCGCCATTGCCGGCACCGTCATCACCGTCATTGTGGTCATCCTCCAAACCATCAAAATGATCATCTTCAAACTTTGTACTGGACCGACCAAGCTTGAAGAATCGCAAAATACGCTTGCCCCTTCCGGCATCGTCAGAATCACCCCCATAGTCGAGAACGTCGGAATAAGAATCGTCAGTGTCATAATCAAGCACATCCCCAGGACCATCCTCAAGATCATCAAGGTCAGGACGATGTCTAGCCTCATCGCCACTGCCATAGTCAGTAGGATTATCACTCTGATAGTCAGCCACATCATCAATGTGATAGTCAGGCTTAGCGCGTTGAAGAACATCGTGATAACTTTGTACAGGATCACCGTCAACCCCTATACTGTAAGAGTTGTGATCTTCATCAACAGCGGAGTCAACAACGGGCTCAACCGGAGCCTCAACAGCGCGAAGAGCATCTGCAAGACTATAGTCGGATTTGTCCCTGCGACGTCGAAAGAACCGAGGAACTCGCGTCCTTGGACTAGCATGCCGTAAAATGTCCCAGGCTACAGGGTTTGCACCGTCATCGTCATCCACATATGATTCGTAACCTTTTCCTTTTTTGTCCTTGGCGGTGATAGAAGCCCCATAACCAACCATTGTAAACATGGCCCCTGCATCGCCGCGCATGGAAGCATAGATGATGGGGGTCTGGCCTCGAGTATCCTTTGCCTCAACATCTGCCCCAGAGGAGAGGAGACTCTCTGCAGGGCCAAGCCTAGCCATGAATAGAGGGGTTTGGTTCATTGGACCTTTTGCCTCTATATTGGCCCCGGCATCAATCAAGAGATCTGTGATGGTATCTATATTTGCAACAGCATAATGTAGTGCGGTCTTTTCCGCCTTGTCTTTGATCTCCAAATCGGGTCCGGCTTCGAGGAGCTTTCGAAGTGTACCTTCTTTTGTTCCCAACTTGGAGGGGCTAGATCGATGACAAAACATGTGTAGCGCAGTCCGACCTAGCTCATCCTGTGCATTTATTTCAACCCCGGCGTTGAGCAAGAATGGTATGGCCTCTCCGAGAAAGGACCTCTCGCAAAGGGAATGTAGAGCTGTCTTTCCAACCTTGCCTGTCCCCATTATGTCGGCTCCAGCATCGAGGAGCAACTGCATGATCGCCTCATTTCCTGACACTGCAGCAATGTGGAGTGGTTTTGATCCACCAAAGCGACTTTTCTTTGCTGAATTTGGATCTGCCCCCGCCTGAAGTAAATACTTTGTGATAGGCACACTCTTCAAGGCAACAGCCAAGTGAAGCATTGTCGGAAAGTTTTGGATTGGTGACTCGATATCGGCCATGGCTTCGATCAGCAGCATTGCAATGGCGTCATGGCCTAACCGGACCGCAGTATAAAGTGGTGTCTGAGCTCTTCCCTTTGATGCCATTGGAGTCCCAGAGATTTCAAGATTGACGTCGGCTTTAAGCAGAAGCCGCACGCAATCTTCCCGCGCCGCCACAGTTGCAAGGTGTATCGACGTTACCCCACCGAAGCCTGTTGCATCTTTCTCGGCACCAGCCTCAAGCAACAATTCAACAATTCCAACATGACCATCCAAAGCGGCAATGTGAAGGGGTCTTTGGTTGGAGGCTTCATGCTGGGCATTTGGATCAGCCCGAGCATCGAGCAGTATCCGGACAATGGTTTCATGGCCTCCCTGGCAAGCAAGATGCAATGGAGTCAAGTCATTCGGAGATCGGGACTCAACGTCAATCCCTTCATTCAGTAGATACCGCATTAGGACTTCATAACCATGTTGAGAAGAATCATGCAGAAGTCTTATGCGATCCTTTGGGTTTGAATGATCTTCACGTCGGAGAAGAAATTGGATGGTGGCATTGAGGTTATACTTGGCGGCGAAACCCATTTCTGACCAGTCTTCTGTTATGGACTGGACATAAATATCCACGCCATCTTCCGCCAACAGCCTTGATAGACCTGGTTGCCTGTTTAAGTCCCGGCAATGTAATGGCATCCACTTCAAATTTCTTGCAGAGCTCAGATGGCTAGATACCGTGCGAAGGAGGTTCAAAACATCTGTATGCCCGTTGGCCTCCGCGAAGAAGTTTGGCATCCAACCACATTTATCGCAGGACATTGAAGCACCATTCTCAAAAAGTATCCGAGTCACTTCTGTGTGTCCATTGATCATCGCGATGTGCAACGGTGTCCACCACGCCTGATGATCCATCGCGTTGACATCAGCTCCGCGCTGGATCAAGATCTTGACAATCTCGATATTGCCGGAATCAACAGCGGAATGTAACGGAGTCCAGCCAAACTTGTCGTCCCTAGCCTCCAAATCAGCACTATTCAGAAGTCTCACTATTTCTGCGTGGCCATATATTGTGGCGAAATGCATTGGCGTCAGATCATTGTGACCTTTGATATCGACATCATCTTCAAGGAGAAGCTTGAAAACTTCGAGATGGCCAAATCGAGCTGCGATGTGCAAAGCAAGGTTTCCATCCTTATCCCTGATTGTTCTGTCGATGGCGGTTTGCAGAAGTGTGGCGACCACTGTAGTAGAGCCACCCCAAGCACCACTATGTAACGCTGTTTGGCCCTTGAAACACTGAGAATTCAGTTCCACACGGAAAGCTAAGTCCTGGACCATCCGTGGATGACCGCGTTCTGCAGCGAGATGAAGTGGTCCTTTTCCCAGGGCATCCGTGATGGATAGATCGGTCCTTTGGATGAGATCCAAGAAAGTTTCATATTCTCGTCGCCAGATAGCAGTGTGTAGCAAGTGAGTGTCTGAGGTACTGTCGCGTGTAAAATCTTTCCTCGCATCAAAAGGTTTTGTCAGCCTTCTCACCAAACTGACATCGGGATTCTGAGGCGAAGATTGCTCATCTTGCAACCGATGGCCGGATATCGTGACATTCCTTTCAACCCACAGACTTTCAACGTCGCTGAATTCTTGCCGGAAGGATAAAGCGCCGATATAATCATATAGATTCGGCACTTCTGTCTCTCTCACGAGCAAAGCCCTTGTTGTGTGCACTTTGCCACACTCGGCTAGGAGTTGGCATTTCCAATTGCGCCTCAGAGCACCTTGAACCTCGGGCTTTATCAGAGGATGCATGTTTCCCCACCAGCATCTCTCCTCGAGGTCAGCGCATTGATCAGCCGGAAGAACGCGCCATCTTCCCACAAGGCTGCCATCCGGTGAAAGTTTAAGCGACGCATTGCCGGGGTCTGGGGGCATGTCAAACAACGAGGTCGGGCACCAAGTGAGCCCTTTCGACATGGTCACCCTGTAGTGGAATAGATGTCCTGGTGCAATGGACCCAAACTTCCGAACAACTTTTCTGTATGTCTCCTGTTGGCTCCCGGCTGCAGTGACGCCTGCTAGGAGTGCAGAGATGACAGACATGTCCTTCGGCCATGACGTATAGCGAGATCGCAATACAGTTAAAAGATCATCCAGTTTGAGTGCGGAGAACTCTTTCCGGAGGTTTTGGATGATCTGAGATCCAGCCTTCCTCGGTCCGTCTGGTTCATCAGCCTGAGCAAGAATTTCCTCATCAAGATCTTTGATGACCGGGCCGGAAGGCCCCTTGAAGATGACCTTGATCTTCTGCGACTTCTTCAGCTCCAGTGCAGTCCAACCTCGACTGAACCAGGGCGACATGATTATTGCAAAACATGCGGTCCGAACATCCCATTCCCAATTTCGGAGGAAGCAATCGTGCACCAACGTGATTTGGGCGTCTTCGTAGCTCTTTTCCATTTTCTGGATTGCCAAGGTTCGGGCGGCCTTTTCGCGAGGAATGCAAAGTGTATCCCACCATATTCCCTCGCATGAAAAATGCCTTGCGATATTCTTAAAAAACCCATAAAGACATTCGTTAACTGTTCCGGCTTGCCAGGCTCCGGTTCCTGTTCCATCAGCCCACACATGTGAGATCGCCATGTATGGCCGAGAGTGTTCAAGCAAGGTATTCCCAGATAGAGACCATGCTGTGGGCTTCCCTTCAAGTGCGGCGCGATCTCGTAAGGCACTGGGGAATTTGTATCTGATTTGCGTACATCCCTCGGCAATGACACCTTCTGAAGAAACATGTCAGCAGTCTTTCACTCACCATGCATATCATCTTTTGCAAAAAGATCTTGCTGTAACAGACACAGACTGAGAGTAGTAATGGTGCGAAAGAAAGAGAAGGAAAAGAATTCCGACAATCAATCTCAACCCAGAATCGGCTAATGGCATGCCCATCACTCCACACCACTTGCCCCTCTTTTGCACTAACCTGTATTCTTGCACTCGTGGCGCTGTTCCACGGCCGTGAAATCCCGAACTGCGTATTCGCAAAACCCGGCTGTGCACTCCTCGTGCTCTTGAACAGTATCTCCCTCAACAGGGGTCAACTCGCAGTCCGGGAACACATTCGGTAGCTCCTCTCCCGCCACGGCCCATAAGCGATTTGGGCAAAGATTGAGGTCTTTTGCTCTTTGGAAGGCATCTAGAAGCTCGTCGCGGTCCAAGTCTATTGTCATTTCCGCTGCGATAGACGATCCGCCAGTCGGAGCTGTATATGCCTGGGCTGGTGTCATCTTTGATGGGAATGGGAGATGATCCCGGTGCTGCTTGTTGGGATTATGGAGGAATACAAACCCGGGGGCCAAGTTATCATGAATAGAATAATCACGTGGCGACTAGTCTCTCCAGGGCTAGATAGTTTCCTCAGCTGCTTCGCTCCTCTTCTGCCGTAAACTCGGGAGATTACAGTTCTAGACGCATCTCTCAAGAGGTCATAGCACCCTTGTAGCCCGTGTTTCGATATAGGCTTGAACTATAGGCTATCCTAGAATCAGTAGACCCGGCTTAGTACAACTTTAGAAGATAGAGGAGAGTCTTGTCTGTTGTTCACACCCGCGAATCACTCCCAATACTTGGTGAAGGAGCGCCATATCGTTGGTCTATTACCAACTCTCCAGGGCTACCTTTACTACACTCCATGGCCTATTCACATCCATTTTTCTTGTATCTTCTGTTGATTCTGTGAGAACGCGGCTTTCCAACATCTAGCCCAGAGAAAATCATCGTCAAAATCATTGTCGTGGTCGTCGTAACATGTATACGTTCAATTTAGCGTCATTTCATACGGAGCCCACCCCATCAAGGATCAGCGCTTCTCGGGAGCAGGGGGCAGGTTGTCTATTCGTGCACCCCATTTATTCGGTACCATCACTCGCTCTTGAGCCTGCCTCCAAAAGTCAAAATCAGGCTCCTGGACTCTCATTGACCCCGGAAAGAAGACGGGAACAAGTGAGAGCCCTAGCCCAGGGTATAACTCTTCGGCATTTCTCAAAACACCTGCGACCCTAGGACCCTTGAGTACCTCCCCGCTTGGTCGGATATGTATACCAAGGCCACTGGGACTGCGCGGGAGAGCTGCGCAAGCAATATTATGGATGCTGCCCAATGCACCAATCCCAAGAATATCTGCGCTCGCCATTTAGCTGTCAATCCATTCAAGCAAGTGCAGCACTTACACCAGGTATCAATCTGCAAACCAGTGGCTGATATAAGAAGCGCTATCCAATTGATCGCTAGAATTGACGTGACGAGTCTTGTCGTGAGAGACGCCGGTGCAGTTCTGCTTCCACGAGCCAGGATCTCGAAGTTGAGGCCCACCCGCTTTTGACCTCGAATGACCATGGCAAATCGGCTCCCATTGCCTTCTGTTAAAGTGATGGTAGGTCCTCCATTCCGTGGACACGGCCATTTCTCCCGGCGCCATTGTGGTAGTGAGCTTCCTAGCAATGCGAGGAAATTGCCATAGCATGTTATCAAGAAGGTCCCCCACTCGTCGTTGGCCACCCAAGGGATGATGGCAATGACCAACTGAACAATAATCACACCGAATCCGGAAAGCCAGATTGGATCCCGCGTTGGCATCCCATGGTCATTGTCTTCTTCATCTATCACGTCGTAAAATGCGATCCGTAATGCTTCCCAGGGACGTTGCGACGGCCCGATCTTCGGTTGGACTCCCAGCGCTCTTCTCCAAAAAGACGGAGTCCAAGTTGACCAGGTTCCAGTGTTGCGATGTGCTGCCTCTCCGCTCATTTCATCATCCACTTTATCGCTGGTGTCTCGTAGAAGTCTGCCAAGAACCCATGAGTTCGTGATTCGACTGTGGCCCGTCTCAGTAGTGATCACCATGGTGTTCGCGCTCTCTACCGGTGGCATTAATTTGCCGTCTACAGGCGCAGGTCAGTACTTCATCTGCCGACTGAATGATTTTATTTTCTTTGTTTTTTTTTTCGGAAAGTGAATATATTACCGCCGACAGCTGCAAGCAGTGCCCGCACTGCATATGCGACCCATCCGAAAGAAAACGCCACCGGGGTAATTTGACGTCCAGCCAACTGTGCCACGGCTTGTTGAATCACTTCTGGGCCTAAAAGCAGCAAAATGGAGAAAATATCGCCTGGATTTATCCACTGGGCGGCGAAATAATCCGCAGTGGTGCTAGGATTGTTGATGTTGATTGATCGAGCATTCTGAAATATATGTGAGGATGTCGGGGGCATGATTTTGGCGAGCAGATGCGAAGGATGTATTGAGCCAAAAGGCTGACAGACCACATCACAGCTGAGCTGCTCAAGTGCCAGGTGAGGGGGCTGGGAGGATTATCTATGCAGCTAAGCGAGGCCCTAGCTGCGCACGCTGAGGCTTGGATCATCGACCATCTTGCTGTGGGGTGTTGTCACCTATGAACTCGGCCCCCTATCTTCCTTCTCTTTGGCGAGTCAGATCAATTCGCGGCTTTTGTCCTCTTCTTTCCCAAGACCTGTACCGAGCTAGACTTGTACCTCACTAAAGACATCGGAGCCAACTCCACACTTTCACTCCCAACGTCACTCTCAGCTCTGTTCGCGTCGTGCAGGGTCATTTTTGGGTTGAAGGGTGAACGAGACTCACATCCCGCACTAAGTGGGCCCAGCGGGCTAGTCATCCTTGCCTCCGCGTAGTAGAACGTGTACAACGATCCGTGGAACTCTGAATCTCCCGAACATCAGCGAACAGCTTGGGTGCCCGGGTGGTTCTTTCTCCGTGACAGCGATCCGGTTCGAGAGAAATGGAGAACTGCGTGTTTATCGCGCGTGGCTTCCTCCAGGGTCTGTCATGCGTCGTGACACCCACTCAGCGAGGTCAGTAGGACCCTAGTATGGCTTTAAGTTGAAATGCTCGGGGATTGGAAGAGAGAAGGAATCACGGCGCCTTAAACCATCAAAGTCTGGATGGAGGACAGATAAGTATAAATGACCTGACAAGAATTGATTGCCTCTGATTCTCTCCTGCCCACTCAATCTCGGCCAGAAAAAAGCCACCCAGTATTAGTGGCAACTAGTCTGTCTGCTCGATATATTTTCGTTTGACGAGTATTCCAATCACATACGACCACAGGGTGTGGAGAACAGGGCTTCCCGTCCGCTCAGCCGTACTTAAGCCACACGCCGGTGAGTTAGTAGTTGGGTGGGTGACCACCAGCGAATCCTCACTGTTGTATGTTTTTGGATTTTTTTCCTCGGGCGGTTATTTTTGGAATGTGTTTAATTTGTCATATTTTATTTAACATATGAGTTTATTCCGCCTTTTGGCTTATTACCAAGCCTACTCCGTAGAAATGTGTGGTTGTTGTACTCAGCGCGAATGGATTCAAATTCATGCAAAAACAAATATCCAACTAGCCAGTCTATATGGGACACTGTACATGTTGCCACAGTGATATCGAACAGCTGTCTGCATTCGGAGTTGACCTTGCATTGATCGATTATGTTGTCCGAGGGGACAAAAAGGCCCCCAGCCGTGGTGCAATAGTCACAATGGTCATCATAATCAAAGGACTAAACTGAACCAGAGCATGTAGCGTATGCTGCAGTGAAGATCTTGACGGAATCCCATCATTTGTCGACGTCTTAGAGCATTCTGATCCGTCAACTGCTTGCTCCTGGAGTCTTGGAGGTCTGATTGTCACTTTCATCACGTTGTTTTCCTCTCTTTCCCAGGCCTTGAAGTATCGATCGCCAAGATAACTAGAAGAGTCGTCAGTGGGGTTTCCCAATATTTCCAAGTTTGAACTGCACCTCCAGTGAGCAAGACCCATCGCGATGTTTAGACATCCTTCAATGAAGATTTTTGAAATGGTTGTCTGTCCGAGGTGTGCTGCCGCCTCATTAAAAGCTGCAGCTTCAGTATGAAGCATCTGGTACGCTTGATTCATTGCTGTTTTGCAGTCGATTTGATTATTGAGCATCAATACAGGAATCAAGTTTTCAATCTGATCATCGTCCTATAGTTTCTTAGCTCACAGACCCGTTATCAAGTAGGATAGGTACTTACCATCTCTTTTTGGAAGGAAAGCATATCGTTGGTTCTGATTTGTTTTGTTAGAAACCTTAGTCAAAGCGAACACCGGAAGGGATGCCAAAAGACTAACATGTGAACGAAGTATGAGGTATGCCTCCACAGGTCCACCATGTTTGGATCTTGAAAATCTGCTCTATCAATATCCACTCCGTTTATAAATCTTGTTGAATCAGTCATTGGCCTCCAAGAAGATTCAGATGGATACCATACGGAAGTGTAGCAATCACACAATGGGCCGCAGCGGTTGCCTCACGTCGTTCCCAGTATTCTTCGATTGTGGGGACCTCATGGACAGCAAAAATACTGTTCACATTGTTGAGGCTTCCCACGTATCGCAACATCTCATCACACAAGACCTCACGACTCGCTGTGCTTGAGTCAGCGTTATCATTGTGAAGGCAATCTCTCGGGGTTTGAATAAAATCTTACACCTGGAGCAAACTTGACGAATATGGTCGCCGACCTCATCCCAGCAGTGTAGACCGTTTCGCAAATCGACATCGAAACAAGTTAGGTCGGGCATTTTGCCCTCGCCGAGCAGAGTGAACTTGAAATACTCAAGGCTCGCTGCTCTGTAGTTGCTAGCAAGAGCCTCATCATGCTTCAAAGCGCCACAGTCGAATACTGATTAACACGGAATTTCGTCGTTAGTTGACCAGGGAAAAAAAAGAAATCAGAAAGCCATACTATCGTCGTACACAAAGTACTGCAAAGTGTGATGGTCAGATATTATATTCGACGTGATTTCAAGGAATACTAACCCAAGCAAAATACTTGGCCGCGGTGCAGAGGATATCAAATGAGGCATCCGGGCACCAGACTGCGGCAAAGATTCCAAACTCTGCGGTTTCAAGCGCTCCAGCAGTGCGCTTGTCTTGTACCCACCTTGAATCTGTCAGCGGGCCTCATGTGGAGACACAAATCGATCATGAAGATATAATAATGAGACTGACCTTTGGATCCACGGATTGAGAACTTCGTCGCGTGCTCTCTGATAGTGTTGGTGCTGTTGAGGTTTCCAATCAGGAAAGGTCTCGTAGATGCTGGGAATTGTGATCGTCTGACCCAGGATTGACTTGCGAAGAGCGACATGAGCTGCGGGCTCAGTTGGCGCAATCATTGCCATTTTACTGAAATTTCAAGGTCAACGAAACTAAATGATCATTCAAGGGAACGGCTCTATTTATATACTGATAGTCCTAACTGATTTGCAATACCCATTCAACGAATACCGGTAGACTCACATTGCCGCTTTCTTCTTTTCCGGAAATTGATTCCATTGACTCTCATTTTGTGCTTGATCTAAGGCGTATTTGAATCCCTCTGCCTAGACTCCATTTTGGTGGGTCAATATTATCTCAATACGAGTACAGACCCGCATCTGAAACAGCGGTAAACAGATCTAGATATTTTCAGAGATCGGCGGCCTATACATAGTGAGAAAAGATTATGCAAGATGAGACAAAAAGTGAAATACATAATAGGGCTGATCAACCAATGGGTATCGAACCGGAGATTGTACGGAGTACATAACCCTAGAAGACGCGCTTGTATTCGAATATTGTGACGCCCTGCGGGTCCTCGGCTCGGCTGGATGAGATATCTTGTACTCGTATTTGTCCCTCTTCTCGCTTTCATGTCCATTAAATTTTGGTCTGAAATCTTATCTATGAATCCAAGCGGCCTTGCTACTACGTATGATATAGACATGGTAGAGTGGTCCCTGTGTCCGAAGTAAGCTGTCTCCAGGGCTCTGGTTTTTATTTTTCTTGTGGGAAGGTTGGGGATCCGCTTTCTGCAAGCATTAGCGTATGCGCTGTTTAAGCTGGAGATTGTGGATCATAGAACTTTCGAACACGAATTCTGTGCAGCACCCTACAGTACGTCCCAAGTCTGGTGTCACCCCTTCCAAAATTTACCTTGTTGATGACACAACCAAGGCTACAGAGTACTGAAAAATGAAGCGCAGTATGCCAGCCCTTTCTAAAGTTGTAACTTTGAAAGGGATTTAAAGATGAGAAAGAGCAGGAGACGAAGAGAGAGCCACTCCCAGCTCTAGAGAATGATCAACGTCTCTTTCAATTCTGAGCAACCAATCTTGCTTCCACCCACCGGTCGATCTCCTTCACTACTCGTACTCGTAGTACCGATTCTATAGAATGATCTTCTTTTCTCGATTCGGCCATTGGTTTACCGACAGGGCTCTTCTCCTAACCCAGTCTTGCAACTCATAGCCTTCTTCCACGCTTTTCCAGTCCCTAACTATTTGCCAAAGTGTTATCTTCTGCAGTTAAGCTTTTCTCGCTGCATACTCAGTGAGCTGGTGACTAGCATTGTTTATTGAATTGTGATTTCGATTCCACTGAGAGACTAATAACAAACTGTACTTGAGTCTGGAAACCATCGGCCCGAGAGGCGCATGGGAGGCGCAGATCCGATTTGGAGGGATGAAACCTAGCCAATAAGGACGGATTGGCCCCTCCACCGGGGACTTGTGTTTGGTTCGATCGGCTGCATACATTTGAAACTTGAGAATCATTCTCTTCAAGTCAAGTGTTCCTCATCGAGACAGGACAATCAAGCCCGCTATTTTGTTTTCTCTCCGTCATTTTGCAAAATGTGCGTTTTCCAATTGGTATGCGGCAAAGGCTTACGCCCTTACACCGACACAATGGCCCCGGTTTTGTTCCCTGCAGAAGCAGCAAACTCTTTGCAGAGATAAACTTTTTCTCCTGTGTTTTTCGTGGTGTGCAATTAGTATCTAGGTGTTGCTATGAAAGTGCTGTAGGATCTATCGAAAATTTGTCTATACTATTCCCTTCAATGCTAGCTCCGGTGCGTACGACCACAGGGTGTGGAGAACAGGGCTTCCCGTCCGCTGTCGGCGAGTTAGTATTTGGGTGAGACCACCAGGGAATCCTCACTGTTGTATATTTTGGTTTTTTTGTTTTGTTTTGTTTTTCATCGGAATTAGTACTACTTAGTAGTATATGCTACCGAGGCCTCAATAGTCCTCTATAAAGGCCATATATATGTAGCCTAACACGCAAACGGGCTAGGCTTTGGGCCACGTTCTTGGGGCCACCGATAGGCCATAGGTGGGGTGCCCACTGAGCATACGATGGCTCATTAGTCTATTTGGGTCAATTCTCATCGAAAA